ATACATACATTTCCAGTATATGTCAGACCACTAAGCGCATTACAGTCCCATACAGGCCGATACAGCCATTTTTTTTTCTTAAAAAACATGCATAGGCAGGTTTATTTTTACAGAATATAGATGCTTTATCACTGTACTTAATATGGTATCTTGTTCACTATACTTAAAAATGCACCACTCATAAATATTTAATTCAGCAAGCCACAACCAAGACTTGATTTATCAACAAAACCCCTAAATATAAACAGCAAAAAAAGATAGATGTCATTATTCCAGTTCTTTAAAACTTAAAGAAAAGAAATGAAAAGATATTCATTGCGAAATTAATAAGTATTATATTGAAAGAAGGGCATTCAAGCACACTAAAGAAACCTGAGGTAAGCATAATCTGTACAAAATTAAACTGTCCTTTTTTGGCATTTTAACAAATTTGCAACGTTCCTTTTTTTTTTTTTCTTTTTCTGTTTTTTTTTAAGACTGCCTAATTCATTTTATAGCCATTGTCTGACAAGAGTAGCAAAACATTATCAATAAATAGTCCTTAGTTTGTACATCATTTTGTTAAAAATGTTTGATGTCATCCATTTTTAGTGCTGCAACTGTAAACGTACAATAGAGTAAGAAATTAGACAAAGTTTTCGTGTCCAGTAACATGATGAAAGACCTTGCATTACTCTATCTAGGAGTCCCCAATGCAGGAGGAAAACAAGTTCATACCCTAACATTGCCGTATATACTAGCATTAGCTTTCTTTTTTTTTAAACTTGCTTTTCCTATAAGCATTTTTAAAAGGTATACCAAAAGAGGTGTTTAATCACCACCCTCACCAAAATATAGTTTATTATCTATCTCCCCCTCTTTTCTAATGATAGTGTAAACTGGATCCAATTCCTGGCCCCCACAGCAAGTAAGCTATCTTCAGAGGCAAGAACATACAACTGCCAATATGCAGCAACCCCGCCATGCCCTGCAGCTCGAAAAAGAAAGAAGGAAAAGAAAAGAAAGAAGGAAAGAAAAGAGTGAACAGGAAGTGGTCACTGAATATTGCTGCTATTACTGCCATTGCTGTCTGTGCCGTTAGTCTCTGAGGCGAGAGCCTTGTTGATGGAGTTAAGGTTGGCGTCGGAGGGCATGGCATCTCTGCGAGGTGGCATCCTCTCGTTAATTCGGTCTAAGCCCTTGGCCTCCTCGAAGCTAGTGATCTTATGTTGTGGTGAAAATCCTTTGATAGCTAAACAGAAAATCATTAAGAAAAAGAAAAACTGGGTTAGCCAGAAGACGAACAAGGGCACCGCTCTTGCATCAGGTGCTGTTAGAGATTTCGCAGTGAGAGATGGGAATCCTTTAGTAGAGAAGAGTGACGGGATCTGAGCACAACACAACGGCCTCCTTACCATCCCCGCAGATAACCAAGGGTTGGGAAACAGCCAATGTCTCTTGCCAAGCAAAACGTCCTCTTCAAGTTAGTGAGATGGAAGCACGTCTCTCTTCTTCACGGAAGTTTACATAAACAAAACCCGAAGCGGACATGGAAAGAGGAAAGTGCTACCAGGGCCAGGTTTCTAGAGCCAGCACGTATCAACGGGCCACGTTAGTGGGGTTATTGAACCAAACGCCCTGACTTTGACCAGAACACCGCCCTGCTTTTACTATTCCATTCTGCTAGCAACAGCAAGTCCAATAGCATCGCTGAGGTAGGTACATCTAACATTCTGGTAAAGAGCTTAGAGCAGAAGCTAAAAGATAAAAGGTATTAACTTGGGGCATTTCCATGCCATCTCAGAATCCCAGAAAGACTTCCTTGACAAACAACTCAATAATGGCATGAAAACAATAAAATGAAAAGCTCCCGTGTCTCCACTCAGCTTTGGGAGCATGTGGAGTGGGCCCAGAGGTGAGAGGGACTCAGAAAAACCAAGATCAGATCACTAAGTAGAAAACGCTCTCTGGCCTTCAGCAGTGAACAGGCCAAACTGATGTCCATCTGGTATCCATTCCTGCCCAAGGCAAAGAAAACTCTTTCTTGGTAGATCAATGTAGACCTGAGTGATGGTTCAAGCATCACACGAAGAAAGTACCTTTCACAGTTTTTTAGCAAAAAAAGAATAAGACTAGTTTTGGCCCCATTCAATGAGTTTTCAAAGGGGGGCATTGATAGCTGATTTTTTTTTTTTTTCCAGCAAACCTTAGTGTGCTCCAGAGACAGATAAGGCATATCTGTTCTAGAAACGAAATGATTTCTTCAGTGGGTGCACCAACAAGTTAGCTGAAAGTCAAGTACATAAATGGGGAACCAATGACATCAGTTTGCTTTACTCCCTGTGAAGTGCAAGCCAGGTACCCAAGGGCCAATCGCCAATGCCAAGTTAGGCTGCGTCTCCGTGGCTGATTAAGGACAATTTCATGGCACCTTTATCCTTCCCACCTTATCTGGGAAAAAAAGGAAAGTGGTTTCAAGCTGAAACTTTGCCAGCCACTCCTACACAAATGTGCGGTGCCTTTGATTAGTATGGATGAGATTCTTAAAAGATACACACAGTTGCTTCTAAACTCATTAAGCGATGAGAAATAGCTTGCTCCCCCCTCTGCATTTTAAAGGTTAGCATCATGGTGATTAGTCAACTATGAGAGGAAGAAGATGGGGAAATGGGGAAAGACCAAGGCCCAAAGCAAAGCTTCTTAATTCTTCTCTAATTTAGTAATAAATTGCAGGATAATAGAGCTGTCTAATGAGCACCCACCCTGAAAACTAACTTAATTATTTTGAGAGACAAAACAATGGCACAAAGTGGTACTCTATTCTTTTTCTAAACCACTAGGAATACCATTTCATCAGAATTAATAAGTATCAAAAGTTCATCATCATGATTAATTTTATTAATTTCAGTGATAAAAGTGGAATCTCTGGGTTTAAAAGCCAATAAGATGGGAACATAGAAATTCAGGCTCTAGTTAGGACAATGCAATATGGTCAGAATGGGGCTCCGTTTCTAATCACCCCTGTCTAGCCTGGTATGGAAGAATGTGCTCTGCTGTAGTTGCTGGTCAGACAATGGGTATTAGCAATTTACATTGGTAGTGTACTTAACACAACACAGAGTCACAGAAACCACAGAAAACAGCCAAACTATCCACAAGAATGCACACTGCAGATTAGAATGTGCTGAGAGGAATAGAGAATTCCCACATAAATAGCAGTTTATTCACTGCTATTTAGGAAGCAGTTGTATTTTCTCTTACGTTGCTATCATTTCCCCTACTACATCCAAATCATGTACAAATTAAAGAGTCTAAAGTGGCACTTGTAAAACATCACATCAAAGGGCCAGATGCACACAATTTGGGGAAAAACAAAGAGTTATCTTTGCAAGAGCAAAATACAACTGAAGAATTTTGTTTTAAAGGGGAACTTCAAATTATTCTTTTTACAATTTCCAAAGGGTAGGTGTGTGTAATATTAAAAACCGTGTTGATATGCAGTTCTCTCATAACTATATACTTAAAAAGCACTTAACTCAAAACTAATTGCTAATGGATCAAGTCTAGTGTCCTTGAGCAGTGCCAGGACACGGTCGGTGATAGACATGACTTGATTTCCCCTGCAGCACCTAGCAGAGGGCCTGGTGCAAAGCAGACACTCAATAAATGTTAAACAATTGAGTGAATTCTCAACAGCCGCTTCGCTTGTTAACGGCCACCTCCACAGACACTAGCTGGTGCTAACTGTACTAGAGATTCCAGTAGGTTAAAATTTGATAAGAGTAGCAGAACTGTTTATCTCATACACAGCTGTCTCATGTTGGATTATTGTTTAGAGACATAAATTAATGTTGAACTACAACAAAGCACTATTCAAATGAACATTTTTTTTCCTTGCTAGAAATTTCTGAAGACTAGAATTCATAAAGCTATTTTTATTCTCTCCTTTTCAGTGCTGACTAAAAGTGATTTGAGGGAGGGACATGGTTCAGCTCAAAGAGTATTGTTTTGTGCGTTATTCGTCAAAACAGCTGCCATAACCCCCACCCCACATCTTTCAAGATATATAATCCTTTTGTTTTCTGTGATTATCCTAGGTTCATTGTATACAAAGGCAAACATAGCTTTAAGGGAAAAAACAAACAAACAAACCATAAAAGGACACTTTCCCCTTTAAAGCAAGAACATTTTGGTTAATACTGAGCCACAACTGTTAGCCCAACACCCACACACTCTGTACAAGCTACAGCAAAAATAAAAAATAAAAATAAAAAAATGAATACACCCAGCAGAGCCCTTATCTGTTGCAGGTACAACAGAAAGGGGACTGGCCAATTTACCTTCATCAGCCTCAATAGCCTCAACAGTAGCTGAAGAGAAGAAAGGGGGTGCAAAATGAATGAGAAAATGAGCAGAGGATTTTTAACTCTAAGAACAAATCAGTGACGATCAAGGGAACTAAGAGAATTCATGTTCCTGTAAGTGCTGGATTCTGGCACAGACAACAAAACAGAAATGCTAAAAAGAAAGAAAGAAAGAAAAAAAAAAACACAACAAAATGATGTTTAATTTATAAGGTGGATACACACCTCTGAGTGAACTACTTTGGTTTTTGCTCATTAAATAAATGACAGAGTGACCCTTTAGGAAAACACTCAGCGAAGTTTTCTTTTACTGAGATTGAATTGATAAAGGGACGAGGTCAATCTAAAATGAGCCTGTGACTTGCACCAATTTCAATAAAACCACTGCTATGCTTGGTGATTTACAGTTTTAAAATACCAGGGGGAAAAATGGCAGAATTTGAAGCAGTTGCCATAATGTCAATGGGGTAATTCATGCTATTTAATATTAGGTAGCCCATTTTCCTACTGCAATGGAAAAGGGGCATCAATTTAGAGGAAAAATGAAATCAATGTGTCTTGAGCTGAAAATGAATGTTTTTATAAAGACCAACACCCAGCATGATTAGAATGGTGAGAGAAAAGAGAAAAGGAAGGCAATGGTATAACTTGGACTTCTTTTACCAGGCAATCCAATTTAAAATCGATTTTCTTGCGCAGGGGCCATGCTAATCTTCTCTGTATCGGTCCAATTTTAGTATATGTGCTACCGAAGCGAGCACAAAATCGTTTTGTTTGTTTTTTTACTGTGGTATTATTTCTTGGAACGAAAGTCTTGAAAAGTTATAATCAAGTGGTAACATGCCAGTAGCAGCGATAATTCTATCAGCCTGTTAAAGCAAAGGCACCCTAAATACTGCAAGTCTGCGTATTTCAGAAGCAAAACTTTGAAGGCCCATTGCTTTCCCAGTAATTATTATAATAATGTGAGGGTACATATTCCCACTGTACAGGTGTATGAATCTTTCTGTTACCAAGGATAGTTGATATTTCCTTAATTAAGTGCTAAAATGCAAAACTTCTCTACGTTTACTTCCAAAATGTTTCTATTAAAATTCTACCCCTTGACTTTAATATGCACATTTCTTATAATTTAAGGATTTAAATCTAGGGCAACTGCCAAATGTGCACTACAATTTACTTACGGTGCATTCTAAATTCCACCACAGAGCAGAAATAGTGAAGCTTTAAGTAATTTCTCCTTTTAGACAATTGAAGGGCATCAGAAAATGGATTCTGAAATTGTATTAATGTATATGGTTTAAAATATGTACTGAATTTTCAGATTCTTAGGAATAATAAGGTTCTAATGCTTATGTTCCCTGTGTGTATGTGAGTTCAACACAGAATAATACAAACAATGGTTTTAAAATAAAGTGAACAGAAGAGGTAACTGAATAATCTAAGTTAAATACCAGTGAAAATCTGGAAATCAAACAAAGAATTGTAAGAACTTAAGATAACGTAAGTGTAAAAGTAAACCAAAATATGTGAAACCACACCAGCATCAACATACTAGAAATATGTACTGCCTGTTAAGTGTATCCTTCTAAAGCAAATGTGGCCATAGTTTCTGATAATACACTTGCAGTACCTTAAAATGTGCTTATCAAAAACTATGCAGATCTCAATGAGATAGTTGTGCATTTTGAGTTTATAAGTGATCCATTGATATGAATGTTGTCCAGAGCATGTTTACTGTGATGGGAAAAATGCTCTGTTTTATAAAACAAGTTGCTAAAATAATTTTTAGGTGTAAACGGGGAATTTCCTTAAATAATATATGTCTTCCTACTATCATTTAGAAATGTCCTCTTTTGTGGAAACTCAAAGATATTGGTTTTGGGATAAATTACTATGAAAATAAAGAAAACGAGAATGCTGCTGCTAGGGGTTGATTATTTAGCAGTACCATATGCCTGAAGTTGAACACTACGCTCCACGCAGAGAGGTGGGTCTAAACAATGTAACCATAAGAACACCTGAATCTTCTAGTTTGAGGGATAGTGATAGAAAAAAGAAAATACACAAAAAGATTCAGGGAAAGATATACAAAAATTAGCAAGAGGCTGAGATTGTTTTGAAAATGTTATAGTGTATTTTTGTTTTCCCTTTTTCATGTTAAAGACTAATTTAACAGCAACACTTCCATTAATGATAATATCAATGGAACTCTCATTAATGATAATATTAGTTAAAATAGGTAATAAAACAAAAGTAAAAAAAGTAAAAGAGTGTGCCCTAACTGGTTTGGCTTGGTGGATAGAACTCCAGCCTGCGGACTGAAGGGTCCCAGGTTCGATTCTGGTCAAGGGCATGTACCTTGGTTGCGGGCACATCCCCAGTAGGGAGTGTGCAGGAGGCAGCAGATCGATGTTTCTCTCTCATCAATGTTTCTAACTCTCTATCCCTCTCCCTTCCTCTCTGTAAAAAATCAATAAAATAGATTTAAAAAAAAGTAAAAGAGTGTATCTAGTAGGGTAGCCACTAGCCACATGTGACTGTGTAAATCAAATTAATAAAAATTAGATAAAATAAAACACTTTCTCAGTTGTACTAGCTATATTTTAAGTGTTCAACAGCCATATGTTGCCAGTGACTTCTGTACAGATAGAGACATTTCCATCATTACAGAAAGTGTTATTAGAAAGCACTCGTCCAGAAAGCTACACATTTTAATACAAAATCTCTGGGTCTTTTAAAGGAAATGTTTTCATTCTTTTCAGAAATGAAACATGGTTATATTCAGTCTGTTTTGGGGGTATAAATAAAAGACATATATGACTCCCAATTTCTACTCAAGTGGATAATGAAATTATCCTTTTTATATCCTTCCTACATTTTCCACTGAAACCTAAACTTTGGGATGTATATTTGTACGTGTGTGTGTGTGTGCGTGTGCGTGTGTATTTCATCCATCAAACAGACAACCAGAACATTTAGTAAAAATGTAATTAAAACTTTGTTTTTAGCAACTGGTTGACTGAGAGTGGGCAAACCCATTATGCATGTAGGCAACCTAAATGAGGTGTCCTGTCTCAAGGCCTGCACTGTGGTGACCACGTGAGCGCCTCGGGAATGCAGGGTGGGGGAGACTCCGTTCCCACGCAAGAGGGAGCTGAGTTGTTGAACATGACTGGTCACATGGATGTGGGGGTTCAGTCCTTCTTTGAGCCGAGAATAAGACAGAGCTTCAATGAATGAGAACTCAGGGCTCTAACGACACAGCTGACTAGAGGCTCCTGGCACAGTCAGGTCACAGTGACGGGGCTGCTTACCGCTTTGCAGAGTTTGCTTCCCTCCAGAGAGCACTCCGCTGGGGAGCATGCCTGTGGGCGTCAGGCCTTTCAGCGTCAGCACACTCTCGCTCTCCTCTCTGGAAAGGCACAAGGTGAGGGGGGCATTAACTCTCATTTTCTGTGTGTGTTTTTTTTAATGTATTTTTTATTGTTGATAGTATTACAGATGTCTCCCATCCCCCCTCCTTTTCCCTCTCCTCCCAGTTTCTACCCGCCCCCCCCCACCCCCCCCAAGGTCTTCACTACCCTATTGCCCACGTCCATGGGCTAAGCATATACATTTTCTCTTGAGAGAGAGAGAAGACAAATGAAAAAATTGCATGTAATAACTCACATTTACATCTATCTTGGCTCTGTAGATTTTTTTAACTTAAAACATACTATATTTTTATACATTGGTATTGAAGTAATGTTATGTAAATGACATGGCTGAGTTTACAATTATACAGCCGGGACGGTTCAGTCCCTTTGAGTACTGAAGATACAGAAAACAATTCTGATTATTAAGCAGGCATCATAGTACACAGTGGCTGCTGGGCTTCCTCGGTGGGATGCAGATGTTGACCATGAGCCCAGGGGAGTGTGGATGGGACTTTTCCAGCCCAGGCTCAGGAAAAATGAGTGAAGCTCATTTGATTTGGGAGAGAAAATCAGGGAGAATATGGAGTTTATGGGAGATATATCTCCCCCGGCATATGGGAGATAAAAAAATAAAGTCCATGTATGAATCAGGAAGCTAGGAGTTACATACAGTGGGCTGAGGAATTTTGACATTACATGATAAACATGCAAAATAATGGCAACTAGCCAATAATGCAATAGGTAAAATTTCCCAGCTTTCCTTTTCAGCAGCCTCTTTCCCCACTGCTTTGCTAATATAAAATCGCTTTATTACTCATTATGACAAATGTTTTACAAACAGTTTATGTACATCATTATTTCATTATGATTGAATTAATCGTAATGATTAAATAACCATGAAATAGGAATAACCTCCTATATTTCCAGACACTGTAACCCTATATAACTATGTAGCAGACACTGTAACCCTATATAACCCCAAAATCTTTGATTTCTTATATATCTTATGTTTATAATATCTGTATCTACCCACTTCACATTTTTATGTCTAACGTGACCCACACAGAATTCCTAAACTCCCCCGAAGCCTGCTTCTTCCATAATCTTTCTTCATTCACCTCCATCCTTTAGTTAAGGTTGAAGACGTAGCCTTTAATGACCTTTCTCTCTCTCATGCCACATCCACTCAATCAGTAAATCTGAAGGCTCTACTCACAAAATATTTCCAGTAAGTACCTTACCATTTCTCACAATACTCCTCCTCTCACTGAGATATAATTAATGCACCATACAATTGGCTCATTAAAACATACAGTTCAATCAACGATTTTAGTATATTTATAGTTGTGAAACCATCACCTTCACCAATTTTAGAACATTGTCACCCCTCCAAAAAGAACCCTTTGTCCAGTAGAGGCCACTTGCCCTCTCCTTCAGCCCTGTATAACCACTAGCGACTTTCTGTAGGTTTGCTTCTTCTGAATTTCACATAAATGTAATCATATAACACGCGCCCTTTTGTAGCTGACTTCTTTAGCTTGCCACCAACAACTCTTACCTGGATTGTTCCACCAGTCTCTTAGCTAGTCCCCCTGCTCCATGCTTGTCATGCTCTGGTGCCCACCTCCCGTAACTATTCTCAGCTTATCAGCCAGGCAGAGCCTTGGAATACCTATGCAGGTGCTGTCTTTAAAAAGCTGGACAAGATGCCCTAACCAGTTTGGCTCAGTGGATAGAGCGTCGGCCTGTGGACTGAAGGGTCTCCGGTTCGATTCCGGTCAAGGGCATGTATCTTGGTTGCGGGCACATCCCCAGTGGAGAGTGTGCAAGAGGCAGCTGGTCGATGTTTCTCTCTCATTGATGTTTCTAACTCTCTATCCCTCTCCCTTCCTCTCTGTAATCAATAAAATATATTAAAAAAAAAAAAAAAGCTGGACAAGAGCCTTCAAAAACTTGCCCCCACCCACTTTCTCCCATCCTCATCCACCTCCTGGACTGCATTTCTTATTAGTATCCACATCCCTTAGTGTTTTCCAGATGCACCCAGCACCTGCCGCCTTAGGGCCCTGCACCTGCTTTGTCACACTTTTCCCCTGACATCTGCATGGCTCCCTGCCCCCCTGCCTTCGACGCTGGTCAGGCATCGCCTTCTAAGTGAGGACTTCCTTGGGAACCACTTTAAAAAATAGCAGGCACCCTACACCCCCTCTCTCCTTGCCCATTTTATTTTTATTTGAAGCCATTCAGTTCATTTGTTTCCTTGTTGTGCTTTTTGGTGTTGTTGCTCGGCTTCCCTGCCCACTACCTCCCACCCTGGCTAGAGAAGCCTCGTGTGAGGAGGG